TCAAAAAGGCTGACAAAGGAGGTGCGGTTGTCATCATGACTAGGTTGGAATATGAACAAGAGGCTGCTTGGCAGCTCTCCAACACCACTTTCTACAAGCCATTACCCTCTGATCCCACTGAGTTACCAAAAGGAACTACAGAATTTGCTCAAGAAACTCCCTGAAAAAGCACAAGATCAAATCCGCAGACACACCCCTGGAACCCCAACCTGGGATATTCTATCTACTACTGAAGATCCATAAACCTGGAAATCCTGGGCGCCCCATCATCTCAGGCATTGGCACCCTGACAGCAGGATTGTCTGGCTATGTAGATTCCCTCCTCAGGCCCTACGCTACCAGCATTCCCAGCTACCTTTGAGACACCACTGACTTCCTGAGGAAGCTACAGTCCATCGGTGATCTTCCTGATAACACCATCCTGGCCACTATGGATGTAGAAGCCCTCTACACCAACATTCCACACAAAGATGGACTACAAGCCGTCAAGAACACTATCCCCGATAATGTCATGACTAACCTGGTGGCTGAACTTTGTGACTTTGTCCTTACCCATAACTATTTTACATTTGGGGACAATGTATACCTTCAAATCAGCGGCACTGCTATGGGTACCTGCATGGCCCCACAGTATGCCAACATTTTTATGGCTGGCTTAGAACAACGCTTCCTCAGCTCTTGTCCCCTAACACCCCTACTCTACTTGCGCTATATTGATGACATCTTCATCATCTGGACCCATGGAAAAGAAGCCCTTGAGGAATTCCACCATGATTTCAACAATTTCCATCCCACCATCAACCTCAGCCTGGTCCAGTCCACACAAGAGATCCACTTCCTGGACACTACAGTGCTAATAAACGATGGTCACATAAACACCACCCTATACCAGAAACCTACTGACCGCTATTCCTACCTACATGCCTCCAGCTTTCACCCTGACCACACCATCCATTGTCTACAGCCAAGCTCTGCAATACAACCGCATTGTCTCTGTCTGAGGGGTTGGAGCAAAACACCTACAAGATCTCTATCAAGCATTCTTACAACAATACCCACCTGCGGAAGTGAAGAAACAGATTGATAGAGCAAGAAGAGTTCCCAGAAGTCACCTACTACAGGACAGGCCTAACAAAGAAAATAACAGAACGCCACTAGCAGTCACCTTCAGCCCCCAACTAAAACCCCTGCAACGCATTATCAAGGATCTACAACCTATCCTGAAGGATGACCCAACACTCTCACAAATCTTGGGAGACAGGCCAGTCCTTGCCTACAGACAGCCCCCCAACCTGAAGCAAATACTCACCAGCAACCACATACCACACAACAGAACCACTAACCCAGGAACCTATCCTTGCAACAAAGCCCATTGCCAATTGTGCCCACATATCTATTCAGGGGACACCATCACAGGGCCTAATAACATCAGCCACACTATCAGAGGCTCGTTCACCTGCACATCCACCAATGTGATATGCCATCATGTGCCAGCAATGCCATGTACATTGGTCAAACTGGACAGTCTCTACGTAAAAAAGACTAAATGGACACAAATCTGACATCAGGAATCATAACGTTCATAAACCAGTCGGAGAACACTTCAATCTCTCTGGTCATGCGATTACAGACATGAAAGTTGCGATATTACAACAAAAAAACTTCAAAACCAGACTCCAGCGAGAGACTGTTGAATTGGAATTAATTTGCAAATTGGATACAATTAACTTGGGCTTGAATAGAGACTGGGAGTGGCTAAGTCATTATGCAAGGTAGCCTATTTCCCCTTGTTTTTTCCTACCCCCCCCCCACATTCTTGTTAAACCCTGGATTTGTGCTGGAAATGGCCCACCTTGATTATCACACACATTGTAAGGAGAGTGATCACTTTAGATAAGCTATTACCAGCAGGGGAGTGGGGGGGGGGGGAGAAGAGAAAACCTTTTGTAGTGGTAAACACCCATTTTTTCATGCTTTGTGTGTATAAAAAGATCTTCTGTACTTTCCACAGTATGCATCCGATTAAGTGAGCTGTAGCTCACAAAAGCTTATGCTCAAATAAATTGGTTAGTTTCTAAGGTGCCACAAATACTCTTTTTGCAAATACAGACTAACACAGCTGTTACTCTGAAACCTAGTATCCTTCTGGCACTAAAGCAATCCTAGAGTAAGTGATAAAAATGAATCCATAATTTAGTGGGAGCAGTATTGCCAACTTATGATTTTATCATGAGTTTTGTGATATTTGGTGTTTTTCTTAAAACTCTATGTAGCAAAGCAACAACTCACCAGTGTGGCACCGCCTACTGGTCATCCTGGGAATTAGCTTAACTCCAGCTTCAGAGCACCATCAGCAGGCCAGTGGCTCACCATCAGCAGGCCCCCCCCAGACCCCTTTACCCTGGGGTTCTACCCACTGCAGTACCCCTACACACTGAGTCTCCCCTCCCAGGGGAACCCCCAACCCTCTACACCCACCTTACTTCAGTGGCTACTGCCAGTCATCATCTAGCCTCCTCTCACTGGGGAGAACTGCAATCTGCAAAGGCAACTCATCACTGGCAAAGGAGTCAGACTAGCTGCCGCTGCCTAACCCCAGGTTGCAGTTCAGCAAACCCACTACCTGCTCTGGCCTTTAACAAGGCCCACAGCCTAGGGATTTACTAGGCTAGAGCTCCCCAGCTCCTCTTACTTTTCCCTAGCACTGCTCTACTCCCAGACAGCCAGGTCCTTCTCTCTTTACATCTAGAGAGAGACTCTACCCCAGCTCCGCCCTAAACCCTTATAACAGGGCCAGGTGTGGCCTGATTGGGGTGTGGCCCCAGCTGTGGCTGCTTCCCCAATCAGCCTAGCTTTTTCCTCTGGAGTGGGTAACTGCCCCACTACACTCTAGCTGTGGGAATCATGTGATTACATGAGCCTCTCAGCTTTCTTTTCTGTTTTTCCCCCAGTAAATTTTTAGCCCTTATGATCACAGAGATAAGCTTGAAAACATGAAGCTAGTGCACACTAAAGGCTCCAAAACCAGAAGATAAATAAAATGAAATCTAAACCTTATTTTATGTTCAGTCCAGTGGTACTGAAACTAGGAGTGCTGTGAGTGCTGTCACACACCTGCTGGCTTGAAGTACTAACAACAAACACCAAATACATGATTTCCATTGTATCCATCAGCACCTCGGTTCAACCAGGCTCATGATTTTTGGAGGCCTGACTCTTGATTTTGAATGCTCAGGCGTGGCATTCTTGTGATGGCTCGGGTGTTGCTATGCTACCTGCTCACAGCAGGATTAGACCATCCAGCCTGGTGCTCATGTCTCGTTGTGCCCATTCCCCACCCCAGCCCTCTCCGGGGCGGGAGGGCCTAGTGAAGGGCTCCATCATAATAGCACACTAGCTGGCAATTCTGTATAATGACAGGTTGCAGACTAACAGCCGTGTTAGTCGGTATTCGCAAAAAGAAAAGGAGGATCTGTGGCACCTTAGAGACTAACCAATTTATTTAAGTGGGCTGTAGCTCAGGAAAGCTTATGCTCAAATAAATTGGTTAGTCTCTAAGGTGCCACAGGTCCTCCTGTTCTTTTTGCGAATTCTGTATAAGTGTTTCTCGGTGCCTTTCAGCCTGGGATGGGCCCGTCCCAGTGTGATGGGGCCTGATGTACATAGTCAGCCCGCGGGCCCCACATCTATAACCACATGTGGTTACCCCTTTCAATCTGGAGGGTTACCCCTACAGACCACCGCCCCCATCCCAGCATGCACTGTTCTATCTGAGCGCAAGGGGCAGGGGGGGGTCTTCTACCTACACTGGGGAGTTTTAATCCCTCGCTCGCGTTGCATGCTGGGAGCTGTAGTCCCTGAAGAGCCGCCTTGCATGCTGGGCGTTGTGGTCTCGCATCGAGTATGAGGCGGCGCGGATCGGGTCTATTTTATGCAAATTACAGGAGCGAGACCGGGGGGCGGTTTTACGGGGAGTGGGCGCGGCCCGGGAAGGGGGCGTGGCCAACGCGGCGAGCGGCGGCGCTGGCAGTTTAGCGGGGGCGCGTGCTGCCTCTTCGGGCAGGTGAGGGGCTTTCTGCGGTGCCGCCCGGACTCCTGGGCTCGCTCTGGCGGTGGCGGGAGACAGGCGACGGCCCTTCCCGTACCAGCTCCCGCCGCTGGTGAGGGGGGTGGTCGCTGCGGCCCCTCCCGTAACCCAGCGCCGGGGGGCTCGGGAAGCAGCCGCTAGGGCTGCCCTAAGGCCCCGCAGGCCGCTCCGACACCCCCCCCCCCGCATGGGGGGTGTATCCGCCCTGGACTTTCCTCCCCCCCGCCCGCCTCTGACTGGAGTCGTCTCCTCACGCAGCTGCTGACTGTGTAGACGCTGCGATTCGGGCGTCAGCGCGCCGCGTTCTCCTGGAGTTGGATCCGGAGTGAAACCCGGCCGCGCTATGGCGGGATCGGAGCGTCCACACAGGGAGCCGCCCGGCGTGGGGACGAGCCCGAACTCCCCTCGCCTTAAGGCGCGGCTCGCTCCGGGTCTGTGCGGCCTGGCTGCCGCCAGCCAGCTCTCGCCCGCAAAGGGGGCTCACCCCGCCGTGCAGCCGTGTTTGAGATGGTTTTCTGCCGTGGCAGGGAGCGGGCTACTGATGGGAAGGCAGACCCGGCCTGGCCCTAGTATACCAGAAGTTGACTGTCCGTGGTAATTAGTAGGGAAACTGGCAGACATCCTGTGGTGGAATTACTGTAGCAAGTTGTCTTTTCTCTTTATTAGCTGTGCAGATTGAATGTTTACGAAGAATGAAGAGGGATGCACAGAAGATCGCTAAAGTTTAGCATTTTGGACTGCACATAACCGAAACCATGCTTGAAATATGCGCTGCAGTCAAAAGACGTTAATTGTTTTGCTGAGCCCTTTGAAGAGGACAAACATTCTTACATAAACAAATGTAGCCCTGAAGTTAAAATGTGAAGTTGTTCTAGAGAATTAAACTCTCAGCAAGACTAGTTCCAGTGGATGGCCTAAAACCATGTCCCTGTCTCGTGTTGAAAATCCTTGTTTTCTGCTCTTTCTAGCTGTATTTCAAGCCATATTTATCCTGATTTTGTACCGAGGTGGAGCATCAAGTGTGTTTCGGGGATTTTTAGATGCACCTCAGCCCTGGGATTACTCAAAAACACAGGATGTGTATACAAACCTCAGCTTGTTCACCCGAGCTCCTAATGAAGAAACTATGCCATATTGCACAGCCCAGTCACCGATATTTGGTATGTATAAACTGCTAGTGTCTGAACTAGTGCATCAGTGTAATAACACTTTTCACTTTACAAAAGTTAAACGTATTTGTCAATAATTTACTATAGTGTTTGAAGCTTCTACTAACATGTCCACTCTGGGGTTAAATTAATCTCTCCCTTTCATCCTAAATCTAGATACTGGAAATTTACTGACTCTTGACTGTGTCAGGTGCTATCAAACAGTGCAGATGGTTTTGTTCAATGTATGCTTAGGCCCTGTTTATGCTAAACTTCACAGTGTGCTTGTAACCAGCTCTAGCTGGTTACGTTGTATACGCTAAATAGGTGGTGTGTGGGTGGTTTTGTTTTTTTTGTCAACACATAACATAGTTAATACACAGGTTTCAGAGTAGCAGCCGTGTTAGTCTGTATTCGCAAAAAGAAAAGGAGGACCTGTGGCACCTTAGAGACTAACAAAACACAGTAACCATGGCAGCTAAGTGTTTTACATTCCTAGAGGCCTTGACTGGCCCATATTCTTATTGCCAGTTTGTAATGCTGTTGTTTTGCTGTTTGGAGAGGACCTTTATGTACACAAGGAAATTCTGAAAGTTTTCCAGCAGTGGTGTAGGTAGCACTGTAACTGCTGCAGTACAAGCTATAGTGTAGATTGGGTGCTATGCAATATTTTCCAGTGTCATCTAGCCTTTCTCAGACTTCTGCCTGATTGCAAAATTACCTGCATCCAATCAGGTAGAACTCTGAGACAGGCTAGATGACACTGGTTTTAAAAAATAAACTGCTTGTTTCACTGTTGGTAGCACTCATTCAGCTACATCACAACATGTTCCAATCTGGAAACGTTTTTACATTTCCTAACTGCTTGTGTAACCAGTTTAGCCAGTCCTCCCAGCTCTGTGTGGTAGGGCACCGCAGTCTATTGCCCCCGTGCTGCAAATGCCATAATCTGTGTACATCTTTCATGTACAATAGCCACTGCTGAGGCACGAGATGATAGCTGCCCAGATATTCTGAGATGTAGTGACGCAAATGCGATCAGGCAGCATGGCAAGAGGGGATACACAACCTTGCTTCACACATAATTGTGTTCTGTTTAAAGAAAAAACTAATGTGTGGGCACAACACCGCTGTCTTGAACAGTTGCCTGGTTTAGTTAGAAAACATGGATTTACTCATCTGGCTGGGCATTTAAACTAGCTCTACAGGGGTTATAACAATATTTGATCGTCCTTTGTTTCTCCCTCTGCCACCACACTGCCTGTGTTTATTTCATTTAATCTCAGTGACAATGTGCATGGTTTCTCACTCGTGTTGTATTGCTTGTATGCCTCAATCCTCTCTTGGAAACAGCCACTTCTGTGAACAACTCTCCTCGTGGCCATTGAAATAATTGTCCGTTAGTCTACTGGCACAGATGCCAGTTATTATTTCTTGAGGTGTAGAGCGGACTAGAGCTCACTGATTCACTTAAGGAGGCCTGGATAGATAGTAAAAATTTTAAGTCGCTATGAGCCAAGTTGTAGACTAGCGAATGGACGCTTGCACTCACTTTCAGCAAACCCTAACAAAAATCCTCCTCTCTTAAAAGGCTTTCTTTAAATAGGAGGCTTTACTTTATCTTTAACCTCCAAACAAACGGTGAGCACTGTACAACTTGCCTTTCAGCCATCAGAGAATAATGTTTTCTATGGAGCTACCAAAATGAGAGCAAATTAAAGAAGGAGTTTAAATAGATTAAATACTCTAGAGTAATTAGCATTTATGGAAACCTCTTGAGGAAACTAGAATTATAATGTTGTTTCAAATGCACGCTGCAGAAAGCAACCTGGTGTGGTGTTGGAACACCTGCAGTGTGTGAAATAAGATTCTGCTTTAGTTTACTAACTTTCTAAACAATAACACTTTTTTAGTGCATAAAAAGAAATTTGTTTCTCCAGATACTCATGATCTATTGTGTTCAAACCTCATCCAAATGAACTCTTTTAAATGTATGCTACTGTAAAAGGCATTTACTCTCCTCCTTAGAACTAAAATAGATACACAAATTATTTATTAATAAAAACCTCTCTCAAGAGTCCCATTGAAATTAAAAACATCACATATGGAATAGAATATCTGTCCTTCCAATACTTATTTTATAGTCTCCATTAAATAAGACTTCAAATGTAATTCTTGAAGCTCCAAGTTACGACTGGTAATAGGTCACTTTGGGCCTGATCCAAATCCCTCTGAGGTCAATGGAAAGACTCCCATACCCATGGGCTTTGGATTAGGCCTTCTATGAAGTGTAGCCCTTTCTCTATTTATGTGTGTGGTAAATGTTCAGTGTCTTCATTACTATACAGAACAAGTAACTTTATTTCCATCTTGAAGATTGTCTAAGTAAAAGTCAGCTGCCTGCTATTTCTTTTTTTTTTTGTCTAACCTACAGTTGTATGCTCAACTTGAGCCCAGTCAAACTGAATCCATCTATTTATCATTTAACTTCAAAGTCCTGTGTTTTTGCACCTTGCTTGTAATATTAGATTAGATTTGTATGATTAGATTTAGCTCTGGAAAACTTGATAGGTCAAATTTCCTCCCTCATGTACCTGCTGAATTAAATGGGTTTATACCAGGAGCAAACTTGGTCCAATGTCTTTGAAAATAGTCCCTCCTCCTTACTCCCATCTGTCATAGCCTTCTTGGGAGCATGACCATCTGCTATGGTACTAGTGAGTGGTCCCTGCAGTCGTGTCAAACTGATACTTTTCTATTAGGGTTCGTACTTTTGTTTTGTATTTAAAGGGGAAAAAATAGGCAAGGGCATTTCTATGAATTGGGTTTAAGCCTTTAGCTGCAGTTGAGAGACCTAGCTTGGACACACTTCTGGATTCGGCCCATTCTCCATCATTAGGATTTGGTGCTTTAGCTAATGCTCCTTTACCGCTTCTTATTCCCTCATCTAAACAATGTGGCTTGTCTATATGGGGAAATGTACTGGCAGAACTATACCAGAATAATTGTACCAGTACAGTGACATAACTGGTGATATACCAGTGCACTAGAGTGACCACCTTTTCAAAAGGCAAAAGTGGGACACATGCAGGAGCCCTGCCCACCTCCGTGGCCCAGGCCAAGCTAGAGCCGGGAAGTAGTAAGAGCCACCCAGGGAGCTTGGTCCGCTGTGATCTCAGGCACCCCGTCCTGAACAGGTAGAGGGTCAGGAGCTCCCCACAACAGCCCGGGCTCCCTGAAAGGTTCTTACTACTGCCCGGCTCTGGCTGCTGGGGGGGGCGAGGGGGGATGAAGGCCCACCTTGGTCGTGTCGTGTTGTGTGTCATCCCCCCCACCCCACCCCGCACGCGCGCACACACGAGGAAGAGGTTGGAGCCACCCCGGAATCTTGGGCAGCCGTGGAGTGACGCCGCAGTAAATCCAAGACACATGCTGTCCTGGAGTCATTCACACCAGGACTTGAACTCTGCATTTCGGGACTGTCCTGCCCAATTCAGGACAGGTGGTCACCCTACAGTATGCTGATGTAACTGCACATGTGGACACTCTTACTTTGGATTCAGGGTGTCCACGCAGGGAGTTATACCAGTATAACTATAGTGGTATAAAGAAAAGGAGTACTTGTCTAACACGGCTGTTACTCTGAAACCTATAGTGGTATAGTCATACTGGTATAGTTCTATCAATAAATTTCCCCATGAGGACAAGCTATTTCCATTCAGGGTAGTGCTTACATCTAATTGTTTAAGTTCCCCTTTGACAGGTTGAATCATGCAGATCTTGCTGATGGCAAAACTTCTGTTGAAGTCAATGGTGTTGCATCCACTTACACCAGATTAAATGTGTACCAAGAGGACCGTTGTAAGGTCATCTGATCCTAAGGTGTGCACACTCGAGGTCTGAAAGGTCTCACATTTCCCTCGAAATGAGTTCGATTCAGCCAAATCCAGCAAAAACCTCTCAGTTTGAACGCATTGCCTAATAAGTAAAGCAGGCTGAGAATATGTCCTGCAGTGGTGCTGATGAGCTAAAGGGATGGGCTGGGGGGCTCTGGTTTTTATATATGCAGCTAGAAGCTTCCTGTTCTGGTTGACCATTATACGTCTCTAAACATGGTTAAAAGATTCTTTTCCATGTAATGTTAGATACAGAGCAAAGGCTCAGGAAGCTTTGGGGCCATAACACTTTATAGATTTTGATTCAGTAGTACTCTAACCTGTTTGTTCTGCAAATCATTTCATAAGTAATGTGATTCAAGAGAGGATCTCCTACCTGAACTCCTCGCTGCTTGCCTTTGTTACATTCTGTCAGCCAGTGGTGGTCAAGGGAGCACAGGTTGGAAGCATGGTCTTTATGTAAATAGTGTCGTCTGAGAGAGAATGAATGATAGTGGGCAGGGCAAGAGCGTCTTAATTCCTTCTATGGTACAAGAGTGCACTGTGCTCAGCGCCCTGTCTTCTGTGGCAGCAGAGTTTGCTATGGAATTCATCCTTTGCCATGGAATTGTGCTCCAGAATCTGAATGTTGATTGAAAAATTGTTTATAGCATTCATGGTTGTAGAGAGAACTTTGAAAATGTAAATTGATGAAGTGCTGTCTGCACAAGTGTTCAGAGAGCTGAAATAATAGCTCTGAAAGGTGTGAACTAATCCATTCATTTTAACTGTGGACTATGGCATTTTTTCAGTACTTCTGCCCTGAAATTTGTTGTTTTTGCTCCTGTTGGACCACAATGATTTTTCTGTCTACCTGCTCTGCAGAGAACCATATGCAGCTGCCTTTACTTTCCCTACAAGAGGGAGTTCGTTGCATTACAGTGCTTGCTCCCTATGCTGTTCCATGGAGCTAGGAGGCAGGGGTTAGGGACCCAGACCTGAAGTCCAGCTTGCAGCCAGGGAGTGTGGGGGAGCCAGAAGTGCTTAGGGATACGAGCCATAGATGCAGCTTACAGGCTTCCTTTCTTTTCTCCCCATGTGTGCCAGGGAAAGAAGCAGGTTCTGAGCTAGGTTGCTTGAACAACATTATAGGAACTGAGGAGCCACATGGCCAGGAGAGCATGACAAACAACTTTTATTCTCTAAAATAATCATGGTTGGAAAATGCTTCCAAAATTCATCTATGAGCCATGGGGGTGGAAGAACAAAAATGTAAGAATACTGCACGTCAGTAGAATAAATTAAGGTTGATTTTTAGAAAGCAGGAGTTGCTGTTGTGGAATTTACGGATTGGCGCTACTGAATTTAGTCCTGCAGTATGCAGGGCCCTGATTATACTGAAAAAAACAACACCATCTCTTTAAAACAAACAAACAAAAAAAAAAAACCTCATACCCTTTGTTGTTGTGACTCCCATAAATGCAACTGAATCTGAATATAGATACATTTTGTTAGTATCGCTTAGACAAATGCCAACTGACACTGGAGCAATAGTTAGTACTTACATATGAAAACAGTTACTTTAACTTTTTTTGTTTTAAATATAAAAACAGTATAATAGAAATGTACAGATTAAAAACAGTAATGGAATGAAGTGTTTTGTTTTTAAAGACAGAAGCTGAGAGTTCCATAGAAGCAGCTAATACAATCATAGTAATCACCTAGCCATGGTAGGTATGATCTCGAGCTGTTCCTCCATAGCATAGTTACCTGAAGAACAGCCATTCTGTTTGTTGCAATTAAGCAAACATGGCAGCAGTTGGTTAGGAAAATTCTTGGTAACAGAGTCAAAAATCAGAGTTCTCCATTAGGTTTCAGAGTGGTAGCTGTGTTAGTCTGTATCAGCAAAAAGAACGAGGAGCGCTTGTGGCACCTTTTAGTCTCTAAGGTGCCACAAGTACTCCTAGTTCTCCATTAGTTAGATATCTGGTTCCTTGATTTTTAAATAAGTAGGAAAGCTTTGGGTTTCATCGGGGGCGGGCGGGAGAAGAAGCCACCAAAATCATTGGAGCTCATACTGTCCTGCTGTAGCAAACAGGTGTATTGTGAGGCTGAATTTATGAATCTTTACAAAGCCTTTGTATTTTTCACCTTCCTCTGCAGCGTGGGGCATGAGTCACTTGCTGGAGGATTCTCTGCACCTTGAAGTCTTTAAACCACGATTTGAGGACTTCAGTAGCTCAGACATAAGTTAGGGGTTTGTTACAGGAGTTGGTGGGTGAGATTCTGTGACCTACGTTGTGCAGGAGGTCAGACTAGATGATCATAATGGTCCCTTCTGACCTTAAAGTCTATGATTCTATTTGTAAAGTAGCAATGGTCTGATTTCCTGACACTAAAAAGGTGGCAAAGCCCATTCTCACAACAGAATGGACTGAGAGCTGGCTGTGAACTCTGAAAGGAGGAAATATTCCACCTACTACTAAATATCAGATTGCCCTTAGAACAGAAGGGGAACTTATCTTTGGGTGGCATGGGCTGCCGTGAGAGAAAGTGCCCCTGCTCCCTTTAAGTTCTGTTTTCTCCAAAATAGTTTCTTTGTAGTCACTACGATTCCTCCAGACCACTTTTTCCTTGAGCCCTTGCCTGAAATGAGGCATTGATCCATAAATGGGAAAAGGTAGTAAAGAAGGCAGATATGATTGTAGAAGAGTAGTTGGAGAAACAACCATCCTGCAATGATAAATATCTTGCCTTTTGTCGAGACTCCCTTGTGGTCTGCTTACACAAGGTACTTCACAGGAGTCTGGGTCTTCTCTTCTAATGTGAGTGAAGAACAGCAAATGTCGGAAGAACAGGACTGTGGATCAGCCCACTGAAAGGCCTCCCTTGTGGATTCCAAACCGTAATGTGACAGATGCCCACTATACTGCTCCCTGTTGGGTATAGCTCAAGTGTTTCCAGCAGTAGAAGTATGAGGTTTTATTCTGATGAATTTGAGGTTGAACCAAATCACTGTTCAAATCCACCAAATTTTCACTTTTTTTCTTCCCCCCCCCCCCTTTCCCTCGTTCTTACAGTTGGTCCATTAACCATCACCTTCAATGCATTCCCCAGTGAAAGAAGGATAATAAAAAAAAATCCCTTTGTTCGGTTTGGAGGCTGCTATAGCCCTCCTCACTGCCTGGCTCGCTACAAATCAGCCATCATTGTACCACACAAGAACCAGGAGAAGCACCTACGACACCTTCTCTATTATCTACATCCCTTCCTGCAGCGCCAACAGCTTCACTACAGCATCTACTTGATTCACCAGGTAAATCAAAACCATGTGTGTCTGTCACTGCTGCTGAGATTTCCAGTTAAGGCAGGGGTGGGCAAACTTTGTGGCCCGAGGGCCACATCTGGGTATGGAAATTGTATGGCAGGCCATGAATGCTCACGAAATTGGGGGTTGGGGTGCGGGAGGGGGTGAGGGCTCTGGAGTGGGGCCAGAAATGAGTTCAGGGTGTGGGAGGGGGCTCCAGGCTGAGGCAGGGGATTGGGAGGGGGGGAGGTGAGGGCTCCGTCTGGAGGTGTGGGCTCTGGGGTGGGGCTGGGTATGAGGGGTTGGGCATGCAGGAGGGTGCTCTGGGCTGGTACCAAGAGGGTGGGAGAGGGATCAGGGCTGGGGCAGTGGGTTGGGGCGTGGGAGGGGATCAGAGGTGCAGGCTCTGGGCAGCGCTTACCTCAAGCAGCTCCTGGAAGCAGCGGCATGTCCATGCTCCGGCTCCTACGCGGAGGCACGGCCAAGCAGCTCTGCGCCCTGCCCCATCTGCAGGCACTGTCCCTGCAGCTCCCATTGGCCTTGGTTCCCAGCCAATGGGAGCTGGGGGGGTGTTGCTTGGGGCAGCAGGCGGAGCCCCCTGGCTGCCCATACATGTAAGAGCTGGAGGGGGGACCTGCTGCTGCTGCTTCCGGGGTCTGCACGGAGTCACAGCATGCGCAGAGCAGGGAAAGCCCCCCACCCTGTTCCCTCACTGGAGCGGCGTAAGCCCTGGACCCTCCTCCCCAGCGGGAGCTTGAGGGCCAGATTAAAACATCTGAAGCGCTGGATGCGGGCCCCAGGCCGTAGTTTGTCCACCTCTGAGTTAAGGAGTGGTTTGGCTGTAAATGAAAAGTGGAGACACAATTTTCCCCCACCATGAGAAATATGGAGTTTGTGAATATGAACGTACAATGGCACATAATTAACCCACTCTCTTTGTATCTCTAAAGCGCTTATTGTATCTTAGCACTAGATACTGTTCCATGTTTGTTTTTTGGAGGGAGAAATTTAAAGGGTGATAATCTTTCCTGCGAAAGAGGACTGAATATGGCTGCTTCTCAAATTCATTGGAGCTGCTTCTGAGTCAGTCAGAAGGAGGTGCCAGAGTGAAATCGGATATCTTTACTGTCTGCCTAGACAAGAGTGAGATACAAACTCTGATTTGATCCTGCTCTGGGTCACACCTACGTAGGCCAAACAGTTGGTGTTACTGATGAGTTCTGGTGTTGTGAAGGATCCCCAGAGAGGGGAAATTAACTAGTGGTGAAAACTGATGGCTAATTAGGGAGTATCTTTCAATTGTATGTAACTAGCATATGTGTTCTGATTTCTGGGTTCTTTCTAAAGAGGGATGAGGGCAATAATCTCTGTGTGCAGGGAAGTATAGTTGAAGATCTACATTTAGTCTGCTACAGAGATTATAATCCCTTTTCTCTTTATGCCCATGGGCAAAAGACTTCCAACTTCCCAAAGTTCATAGAGTTGCTAAGGCAGTAGGTCAGATTTTCAAAAGCATTTAAGGGACTTCTGAAAGCTTTTCCCAGCATCACTTGGTTCCAGTCTCACTCAAATTGAAATCCATGGGAGTTTTGTCATTGACTTCAGTGTGAGCAGCCTTAGACCCTTGAAGCCATTCCAGGAGTTGGTGAGTAAACTGTACGTTTTCTTTTCCAGGCTGGGAATGCTACTTTTAACCGAGCAAAGCTCCTTAATGTTGGTGTCCGGGAAGCCATGAAGGATGAGGACTGGGATTGTCTGCTCCTGCATGATGTGGACCTCATTCCTGAAAATGATTATAACCTCTATGTCTGTGATGAATACTACCCCAAACACATTGCCAGTGCCATAGACAAATTCCAGTACAGGTAAGGGTCTGCTTTTGGGATGGATGCTTTTGATGATCTTATAAGCAGTTCCTTTTCATGGAACATATAGTATAGCCTAGGACTGGACACTGAAGGATGTTACCTCAGTGTTTTCCCACCTGGGCGGCTGTTGCAGGAAGGGATGTGTCAGATTAGCTAGTCAAATGATTCCTGCCGCGCTCCCCCATGCACCCATATTAAAACGGAAAGACAGATCCTTCCCCTAGATGAAGGATGGAGAGCATTAAGCAGAACAGAGCACAAATATGACATGCTTTTTGCTCACTTGCAAACTTAACACCATTAATTTGGGCTTGAATAGGGACTGGGAGTGGCTGGCTCACTAGAAAAGCAATTTTCCCTCTCTTGATGTTGACACCTCCTCATCCACCCTTGTAAGGTAACTCCCTTCTCTTCATGTGCCACTATATTTATGCCTGTATGTAATTTTCACTCCATGCATCTGAAGAAGTGGGGTTTTTTTACCCATGAAAAAACTTATACCCAAATAAATCTGTTAGTCTTTAAGGTGCCACTGGACTCCTTGTTGTAAATGTGACATGGTACTGCTGCTGAGTAGGAATCTGAACACTGAGATGTTGATGAAATCATAATCTACATCACTTTAAACAACTATGGCTTCCCTCCTCTGCAGCTATGTAATTATCATGGATCATTTTATGACATACCAGGGCAAACCCAGTCCTTTATGAGCCCCCACCCTTTTTTTTTTTTTTGCCTTCAGCAGCTATTCAAAGCAAACTGAAACTCATCTTCCTGTGATGGATGGCTAATTATTTTCTTTCCTTCTTCTGTGAGCAGAGTACGGTATTTCCCTCACAGTGGGGGAAAAAATGCCTGTCCGTTGCAGAACAGTTAATCTCTGAATTTTGCTGGTTAGAAGGAATCTCAGCTGAATTTACCAGTCTGATCTTCCGCACTGAAGTCTTAATATCCCACTTATTCAGTGACTAAAACTTTCTACAGGTTATCTTTCTAGTTCAATACTTGCCACATAAATATGAAAGAACTATCATCCAGCTTTTTGTGCAATATAAGTACAATAAGCTGAGACCAAGATGCATGTGACTCATCACTGCAGTGTAAGACAGTTTGTAAAGTGACAAACTCTCCATTTTGACAATTTGTTCTTCTCTTCTCCAGTTTGCCATATTGGTCCTTTTTTGGAGGTGTGTCTGCTTTGACTCCAGAGCATTACATGAAGATAAATGGGTTTCCAAACACCTACTGGGGCAGTCGTGGTGAAGATGATGACATTGCTGCAAGGTACTAACGGATAGAACTGGGCCATTTAAAATAGAACTAAATATAAAAGTAACAACATATTGCATGGTCTCCATTAGCCCAGAGGAGGAACTATAAAAGAGCTAATAGGTTCTGGACAATTTTAATTTTATATAGTGCTATGATTCATAGATTCCAAGGCCAGAAGGAGCCATTATGATCACCTAGTCTGACCTCCTACTTAATACAAGCCACAGAACTCCCCCAAAATAATTCCTAGACCAGTGGTTCTCAACCAGAAATAAACCAGAGAGCAGGGCTGGCGCTAGTCACTGAGGCCTAGGGAAAAAAGCCGAAGCCCATGCCCCACTCCCTGGGGATGAAGTCTGAACCCTGACACAGGAGGATGAAGCCAGCTTAGATTTGAGGAGCCCCCTGTGGCATGGGGCCTTGGGCAGTTGCCCTGCTTTTTATCCCCTAATGCTGGCCCTGGCTTTTAATCTACTGGATATGTAGACAAACATTTTTTGTGGCACAGGTGGGTTGTGGAGTATTTTATAGCATGTTCGGGGGGAGGGAGACTCGGAAAGAAAAAAGTTGAGAACACCTGTCCTAGACCATATCTGTTAGAAAAACATTCAATCTTGATTTAAAAATTGTCAGTGATGTAGACTCCACCACAGCCCTTAGTAAATTGTCCAATTGTTAATTACACTCATCATTAACAATTTATACCTTATTTCCAGTCCAGATTAATCCAGTGCCTGGAAGTTGAAACTAGACAGTTATACTTTCTCTGCTAGGTTGAAGAGTCTGTTAAATATTTGTTCCCCATGGAGATACTTACAGACTGTAATGAAGTCCCGTCCCCCCCCCAAAGCTAAACTATAAATAGATTGAGCTCTTTGAGCCTATCACTGTAAGGCATGTTTTGTAATGTTTTAATGATTCTGGTGGCTCTTCTCTGAATCTTCTCCAGTGTATCAACATCTTTCCAGAGTTCAGTTCTGGAGACATTATATTCAGAATTGATGGTCAGGGCATGTTAGATCTAACTTCCTATTGTACAAAAGTGATACTTTAAACAAAATTAGAAGCTTTCTTCAGATAGCTTGGACTTCAGGAGCTAGATAATGTTGCATTGAATACCCCTGTGCTGTCTCTGGAGTTCTTCCAAGAGCTGTATAAACCACTAGTGACTGATAGTTGACTCTCACCAAAATTAATCATTCCATAGGAGAGAATACTAGGCTGACAAGGTAGAAAACCTAGAAGTTAGCTAGGGGATTTTAGGGAAGCTTTAGATTTAAAAATAGGAGGGGATTCAGGACATGGCATTTACCACCTGAAAGACTGTTTCAGTAAGTACACAGTATTTGGGGAGCTAGGAATCTGGATTCCTTACATTACTATCTTTAAACTGTCAGACACGTAGTGACATATCATAGAGCCTTAAATACCTATGAGTCAGTGTTGGCAAAATGTGATGTTTTGTTGCTAGGAAGGTGACGTGCTATGGGTGTGAATATAGAGCGTTTAATTCCAGCTGCTGTGCCCAGTGCAGCTCTGTAGAGTACAGAATAAAGACCCCTTGGCCTTGTCTACTCTAGCAAACATTGTAGCTGTAATTCACCAGTGGTACAGCTCTAGTAGCGGACATTGAGGCAAACTGTTGGGGAGGTTATACTACTCAGCTGGCAGTAAAAATCATACATTTATTTCCCGCTCTTACGCAGTGTGACAGGTTATGTAATTTTCAGTGGAACATTCTGTTCAGGGACTGTGGGAGTCTTCCCAAGCATTGTGCTCCTGAGAATGGAAAGTTAGGTGTTTAAAAGTTAATTCCTTTGATCAGAGAAATCTTATTATAGGAACATAATTACTTTTAAAATTAAATGAAAGTACTATTTGATGATTGGAATATCAGGGTATAGTGCATCTTGAATTTCTAAAAACAAACAGAAGACCCTCTCCAATGCTTTCTGCACTATTTCAGCTCTTAACGTGGGTCTCAAGTGGGGTGCCAGTGGTGAGATGTGCCATACCAGAGTCCTGTGCATTAGGGTGCACTTCCTTGTATTCCTTTATTTAAAAAAAAAAAAATCTGTTCCAGGGGCACTGTTCACTTGAGTAGACCCCAAAGCATACCTTCCTTGAAGGAAAGTAAATCTCTTGTGAGAATTATGTACTACAAATTGATAACCACATCCACTTGAGGGGCACATTGCAATTAGTGGTGGAGGCTAATAATGATTCTTTGTTCACAAACGTACAGGCATGTGTTTACAAAAGTTTGTAGTGATTTGTGGTGCCTCAATTTTTGAGTGACCAGCTTGAGACCCCTAAAAGAGAGCTGAGTTTTAGAAAGGACTGAGCACCTATGCTGTAGAACAGCAAAAATAAAACTGGAAATATGGCGTGAACCCTTCCTGGCCTTGTCTTCTCTCTAAAGCTTTGTTATATTAAACACAACTGAAGAGCCAGGTTGGCCAATCAGTGCTGACCAGTTTTGCAGTCAGTACAGATGAAGCAAACTTGGGTTCAACAGCATCAGCTAGTTGTGTTTGAACCTTAATCTCAGGCACTAGTATCCTCCTCGTTCACCTCCTATGAGAAATGAGCTTCAATATCTGAACAGGAACCATTTAAGTATTAACATTAAGCACAGACCATGTTTTGGGGTGTTTTATGCTAATTTTGTGGGGTTTTCATTGTTGCATTAACATAGCTTTTTGTATTTAAAGTTGCATTACTACAATTAGTCTTGCAACGCCAGACTAGAGTTCAACAGCAAAGTTAGCTCAGCTTTTTTGCAGTTGTCCATTTTTTCTGTTTGAATGTGCAGTGTAATTAATGTATGTTTTTTTTTTTTTTTAATGCAGACATACAAACTTTTTTGCTACAGCCCAGGTTGAGGTAATGGTACTTTACCAAATGCTAAGACATACTCCCTTAATGAATTAATACCATTTCTGGGTTTATCTTTTGATAATTCTAGTCTAAATTTAAATATTGTTGGCACTCTGGCCTTTCCCAAGGGCCTGGGAGCAGGAATGTTGCAGTGCAGCTTAGTGCTAGAGGTAGATAGCAGCATCTCTAAAATGAAACTTTTAATGAAAGAAATTGAATAAAAAGAAGTTTCAAAGATGTTAATTTGCCAAACTAAACTGCCTAAATCTTCAGCAAATTAAACAAACCTGGTAGTAGCAACGGGTCTGGCTATTGGAGCCTTTTCTGCACTTGAGATCTATCCAAAACTGGCAGTGATTCACTACAAGTGGTAGTAGCACTAGGAATAATTTTTTGTAAAGTTCCCTAGGCTGGGCATTCAGACACAGCAGTTGATACAGCCTCTGGAACTCTACTGCCCTAGGTCATCTGAATGGTAGCATAATGCACTGCTGCTGGCCTGCTCACATTTATGTACCACACTACTTCTAAGTAAAATAAGTGTTCCCATCACAGTCTCCATGAGTGGTGTCCATTAAGTCCAGTGGTGCATTATGCCTAATTCAGGAGGTACCACTGAGTACCATAATCTTACTTCCTCTTCTTGAATTTGAAGTACTGTCTTTTCAGCCCTGTTGTATGTTTTGCTTCGGTTGCGTTTCTGCCAGGAAACATCTCTGTACGTTGTGTAGCCTAGAGCTGGTATTCATAGAATATCAGGGTTGGAAGGGACCTCAGGAGGTCATCTAGTCCAACCCCCTGCTCAAAGCAGGACCACCCCCTCAAGGACTGAACTCACAACCATGGATTTAGCAGGCCAATGCTCAAACCACTGAGCTATCCCTCCCCCCAAAAAAGTTTCATATTCTTGTATATAAACCTAGCTTTTGCTCTGTCTTCATTTTAAAGGATTCAGTTAGCAGGAATGAAAATAGTCAGGACCCCTATTCATCTTGGACGCTACAAAATGGTGGATCTTGAGCAACACACAGGGAGTGAAGAGCACCTAAGAAGGTAACTATTGTAGGAGGGCCCTGTCCTCATTTGTCCAAATTCCAGTGTGGCCATCCCTGGTCTGAAGAGCTTGCTGACTGAGTGCTAGCAACTTCCTCCTCATGCAGGGCAGAAAGCAGCTCCTTGGACTGTGCCTATCACTATCCCGCTTTTAAATGCTATTTAAAGAAACTGTCTCTGACTTTGTTCAGCACAGAGTTTGGGAAATTCACTGGGTGGAAGCATTTGCTTGATTTGTTTAGATTACAACTTTTAAATTTCTGCAGTCCTGCTGGCAGCCTCTGGACTCATGGATAAAAGAACATTTGTGATATCAGCAATATTGTCTGGTCAAAAGCCAATTACAACTGAACCTTACTTTCTTTCAGTGGTTATATTTTTAAAGTGTAGATGCTTTAATACTAGTTCATCACATTGTTTGAAGTCCTTAGTAGTAAGCTCATTCTTTTGATTGGCAGTTGCTAGCAAGAGTTTTGTACAGAGCCAGCATGGTGGGGTCCTGGCCCATGATTAGGGCTCCAGACACTACAGTAATAGTTTGTTAAAATATTCAGATGAAGAAACAAGACAACTTCCAGATTAGTTACCTCAAGGTATCTTGGAAACATTAAGAATCAGCCTTGAAGCTTGTTCTCTTATGTTTTCCCTCCTCTCAAGATTTTTATGTACATCTCAGACAAAATAAGTCTTAAGATTTTATGTAACAAAGTATTATGCTAGCAGTAGACAAACAAACTAAGCTGTATGCAGACCCAGTGAAAATGTGAAATCGGAGCGCTGAATTCAGAAGACATGGGTAAGGTGAACCTTTATCTTTAACTTAAATCCCCAAGAACCTACTTACATACCAAGAGCTGGAGGAAGGTGTTTATGCTGGGGTGGAGGCTGTCTACATTGGCATCTCAGCCCTCCCACTTGCCTCATCCTTAAGACTAAGCTCTTTAACAGCTTCTCTCACATGTTCGCAAATCGACATACAGCCACCTGCATCTCCATTCTGCCTCTGAAATCCTCATTGCCACCTTTGCCTCCTCAAGCTCCATCTCTCCATGTTCCAACATGTGCAGTATGGTGCTGCCACTGCCTTTTCAGACCTACAGATCGGCATGGCCACATCATCCTTATACTCTCACATGCCACTGGTCCTCCCCATTCATTTCAGACTCCAGTTCCAAACGGTCCTCGTTCGTAAACACCACACAATTACTCCAGTCTCCTGCACCTCACAGCATGTCCCTGCTCCACTCTCTGCTCTTTCTGCTTGTCTAGAACAGGTTTCCTTTGTGCGAAGGAACAATCTGAGGTCTTTTGGTGGAACAGACTTTACCTGTAAAGCTGCTGCCACCTGGAACAGCTTCCCTATCTGCCTGTCTACATCTTACTTCAAGTGTTACCCAACAGTGCCTCTCTTCTCTCTGATTAAGCCACTTAATCATATTCACAAACAGAGTGTGTTGTGTATTTTTCAAGAGTTGTATTGTAACTGACTGGACAAAGATGGGACTATCTAACTACAGGTACTCTCCTCCCTTTAGGCCTGCTCCACTGCACAACACCAGAAAAACATGGAAGGATGATGGAATGAATTCTGTAGAGTTCAAACTCCTTTCAAGGAAGAAGCACCTTCTTTATACCAACATCACTGTGGACATTGGGAATGCTCCCACGCTGCCTCCAGAGGAGAAAAACAAAGAATAGAGCTTGAGCATTGGTATAGCACCTGAAAGTTGTGCAACACACGAGGTTCCAGCCTATAGTTAATCAGGAATCAGAGGTCTACGAAGATTGAGGAATTGTTTCCTGCTGTGCACTTCACCTTTCCTCCAAACATGTGAGGGTTAGAAGAAAAGTCTTCAGGAATGAGGCATGACCACTAAGAGACTGGATTCAGTTTATTGTAGAGAATCCCTTAAGCGCTGTAAAATGTGATGCTACTGAGCCAGCCTCCCCCCCCACCCCCACCCCCTTCCGTTGCAGCCTTGAGGAGTACATCCTTCATCACCAGACAACTCCACTCTAAGCTGTGCACGCTTAAATCAGCATGACCCATTAGCTGGATAGTTAGTTGAATGCCAGCTACATAACCTCTGCATATCCTACTGCTTACTGTTTTAAAATGGTAATTGGGATTAAACCCACTGAGGACATGTTCTGTGTTTTGTCTGAAAGCAACCTCAGTCCCGTCTCCCTGGAAAAGAGATTCTCTGGTTGCAATCTTTTTTGAAATAAGATTTTTTTTTCCATTAGTGTTAAATATTTCCCTTTCCAACTGTTACATTTGTAAATATTCTTCAGGAAGTTTAAATATAAATTTTGAAAGTTAACAGCCATCTTATGGTTCCTGTTTTATGTGACCATTTGCTGTGTACAGGAGCTTCTCCACAGGAAGTCTAGTGGCTTGGTATAGCAGAAAGTTTTGTCTAGTCATCGTTAGAGCAGGAACCTGGGTATGGGCCTCCTGCATTTTTTGGCCTGCCAGCGCTGATCAAATTATAAATCTATTCACTTAGAACACTACTAGTATCCCCTCAGCTGCAGGAATTGGTAGGGCTCTACCATATTCACAGTCTATTTTGGTCATTTTCAGAGTTATAGGATTTTTCAAATGGTAAATTTCATGATTTCAGCTATATACATCTGAAATTTCATGGTGTTGTAATTGTAAGGGTCCTGACCCATAAAGGAGTTGTGGGGAGGTCGCAAGGTTATGGAAGGGGGAGTTGCAGAACTGCTAACCTTACTTCTGTGCTGCTGTTGGCAGCAGCACTGCCTTGAGAGCTGGACAGCGGGAGCCTAAAGTTCTCATCCATTCAGAAGTACAGTGCAGGCCTTGCTAAATTCCTGCCACCACCTAAACGCTGCCCTGAAGAAATCTGAATAAGTGGGGAGTTCAGTCTATAGCCAGTTCAGTCCTTGGCCTAGCTCTGAAACTGCAATAAAGGGGGAACCTGTCACTTTTGTGGTATGGACACTTTTCTCCAGTGAGTGTGTGAATTCTCATCTAGTTCTGCAACACGTGCCACTTCTTAATACTTTAGTAACTAATCTTGGGCTAACAACCTAGTTAAAGGCACTTATCTTCCCCCTTTACCAGTCCTTTCAGCCATCCAGTGGGCCATCTTTCAGTTTTCACAGATCATATGAGACAGCTAGTACATTTCACTACCTTTCCTCTGAATCAGCTTGGAAAAGAGGAGACTAAGGGGGGATATGATAGAGGTATATAAAATCATGAGGGGTGTGGAGAAAGTGAATAAGGAAAAGTTATTTACTTGTTCCCATAATATAAGAACTAGGGGCCACCAAATGAAATTAATGGGTAGCAGGTTTAAAACCAATAAAAGGAAGTTCTTCTTCACTCAGCGCAGTCAACCTGTGGAACTCCTTGCCTGAGGAGGTTGTGAAGGCTAGGACTATAACAGGGTTTAAAAGAGAACTGGATACATTCATGGAGGTTAAGTCCATGAATGCCCATTAGCCAGGATGGGTAAGGAACGGTGTCCCCAGCCTCTGTTTGTCAGAGCACAGAGATGGATGGCAGAAGAGAGATCACTAGATCATTACCTGTTAGGTTCACTCCCTCTGGGGCACCTGGCATTGGCTACTGTCGGAAGACAGGATACTGGGTTGGATGGACCTTTGGTCTGACCCAGTATGGCCTTTCTTATGGATTCTAACAGTGTCACTGTGCCCCTAGAACCAGCCATTTATTCTTAGCTGACTGCACACAAGCCTTGTCATAAATCTAAAGTAATTTTGCTCCTACTGTATTCAAAACCAATTTCTTACAGAGTTACATCTTCTAAGCAGCTGATATTTAAACAGTCCCCTACTCCTTGTGTGTGTTGTCTGGAGGTCACACTGCTAAATGTGTTAATCTCTTTGGGGGAAGAGGAATGCAGCATTGCTAAACAGCTCTGAGGTGACCTTCAGGACTAGTCACTAACAAAGAAAGTTTAATTAGACCAGTCACTCTCTTAGGTTGTTGAAACTTTTTAACTGCCAGCTAAAGTAAGCCCCCTATCTTTCATTTCACACTGCCTTCCAGTCTGGATCCTTTCTGTTGTAGGATGTGGGAAGAGACATGTTAAGGAAAAATACTTAGCATTAATGGGAATAAGAACACAGATTGTAGTACTGAGCTGTCTGCTTTTACCCAGGATAAAGGAGAAGCAGTTGAAGCTGGACTGTGTACACCACCCAGATAGATTAAATCAATGTCTAAAAGGGACCCTTTTGATACATTTGCAGTAAAGCACCACTTGGAATTGTCCTGTCCTGTTTCTTAATACAAACTGAATTTCTTTCCCCCCACCCCCCTTTAAACAAGGCAGAAGTACACAGACACAGGCTTTGTACTGTGTCCTGATAATCAACAGACTGGCTGTGTAAGGACTGGCAGTCTCAGGGGAAGGCCCTATTTTTTGATTTCCTTTCCCCTAGCAGGGTCTGCATCCACACACGTTAGGATTAAAAGCCTCAGTGTCTCAACTGTCTCTGCTGTTTGCTCCTTCTCTATGCCTTACCAAGCTGCTCTAGTTTATGTCCTGTGCCTATTAAAACAGGACTTAATTATCACCAACCAACTTCTCAAATGGCATCCAGAAACTACTAGAAAGAGCATAAGCACTGGCATGCAGAGAAATACCATGAATAAAGGCTACAGTCTTCTGCACTTGCTAACTCTGCCTTCCTGTTCAGTATAGACTGGTGGTAGCATTCTGGGGGGGGGACGGACGGACGACAAGTGAACCAAACTAAATGCAACTACAGTTTAATTTCCTTTGATCATTAGGTGGCACTAGAGATTAGTCTGTTCTAAAAACCACTTCTCCAGAGCAGCCGCTTTGTATTCAGTCTACAGACTATATCATACTCTGCACCATATGAGGTCTACTAGTGCCAAAATGAGGAAGTCCTTGTGTCACAGCCACAACACAATTTGTGGTGGCACAGAGTTCCTCTGGGCTGCTGATCTCTGCTGCATGAAACAGATACTTTTGACAGCTGCAGCTTCCTTGAGCAGTTATTGCGGCAGTATTCAGGGGGAAACAGCAGATGGCAGCATATGATGGAATTTACTTTTCAAAGTGTTCATGGTGGAGCAGTGTCTCATAGCTTTTATAGCATTAATGATAGCAAGCATCTGCTATTTCCATTATACATCATTTGTAATTTTCACTTCCACACATTTTTAATTTTCCAAACATTGACCTTTTGTCTCAAGTTTTCAAGATGCAGTCTCTTGCGTTTTGGCAGAATTAAAACACAATTAAAATCCTTGGTTTTAAGGAATAAGTTAGGAAAACCCTCCACACTTTTCCCATTATAAAACCACTCTAAGCACACAATACAGTGAGAGCAAGAATGACTGAAATGTAAAATTTGGCCCATTTGCTTGATTTGAGGAAAAAGGTAAGAGTGTAAAAAATCTAACTTTTCAGACTGAAACAGTGTCTGGGAGGTCCTGCCCCTTTGTGACCTCACTGTAAACAGTCCTCCTGTTCAGCCCGGGTGGGCTTGAGCAACAGCTGCTTTTGGGACAGTTTTACAGAGGGGAGAGATGGAATTTTTTTCCCCACTCCCCTCAAAAAAACACCTGCCTGACCATCAGCAACAACAGAAAACAGTGGAACTGAAAAATCTGTCACTGGTTTTAAAATCTCAGCAATTTTTGCTACATTCCAAAATATTAGTAATTTCAGAGCTAGTCTGAAGGTCAAATGGATGCAGTTGGCAAATTCAGGGGCCAAGATGGACACTGTTCTTGAGTCTTTCCTCTGCAGGACAGAATGAATACGGTTAGCAACTAGCTGGGAAATAATTCTTTAGACTTCATGCTACCGTAAGAGGGTTTTTAATATTTAAGTTTCTAGGTAATAAATTCCTCTGCTTTCTAGAGGAATTAATATAACAAACATCAGAATCAAAGCTTTTCTTCTTGAGAAGACTATGATCTTACATTTATTGATTGCAACCAACATCTACCCATCAGGCAAGTGTCAACACAGTGCTGTCTGCTGCTGTAGAGAAGGGGCTTACACCACTCCCATACATTTGCAGTTGAAAAACTTGCGATTTACTGCAACTGCTAACCAGTTTATCCACAAATCCACCCCATTTTTTCTAAAGCAAGAACTACAAAAAGCCAAGTCATTACTGGGTATTTATACCACACCGAGCACCAGGCTAACAGTGTCTAGGAAGCAAGAAACTGTGGGTAGTCTCAATCCATTTTACACTACTTATTTGTGTGTATTCCCTCAATGCCCAGCCCAGACTGGCACAGTAGGTGATAACCATACTACTGTCTGTATTACAGGTTTGCTGCAGAAATAAGTGAGCCTTTCATATAGGCACAGGACTCTTGAGCACTCCCACTAGGTACTGAATTAAACTGATGAAGGACAAGGGAATCCTTTGGAGTGAAATGGGTTGTATTTTATTGAGAGTTTTTAAATTCTCTTCAACGTGGCTGCAGTTAACATGATTACTTCCCTCTCCCTTTCCTTATTTACCCAGGCTGAGATCAAATCAGCCTTTCTAAACCAGACTTTAGGCTATAAAATATTCTTGTGCTTTGTATGATAACAGTCTCACTCCTTTAGAAAACACTGTGTCCTGCTCTCTAATGGCAGAAGGTTTGGAAACAGCTACTGGAGCTGAAGCTTTCAGTGGGTGCAGTTTAAGCTCCCAACAAGGCCAATGAAAAGCCAACAGCCCGAACAAGTAGACTTTCTAAATATCCCAGTGAAAACAAACTAACAGGCACGGTGACATATCCACTCAGTCAGTTCAGGTCTCCAGCTTAACGCACAGCGCTGCCACAAAACAAATTTGTAACCAAACAATTAGAAAGGATGAAAGAAGCTATTTCCTCTGCATTGTCTCTGTGCTGCTGGGGGACCCCTTGAGGCACAACGCTGCCTTTCCAGTCACTGCAGCAGCTACCGCAAGAGGAAGATCTATTTCCGTCTTCTAGAATCTACAGGAAACAATGTTACAAGATCTTGGGTGGCACGCTGAAATCTACTGTGACATTAGTGTACAAAGGGTTGTGCTCCACTGAGAGCAGTGTATAGGAACAGGAGTTCAGCCCATCTGTTTTCCACACTTGGGACACCTGCCGCAAGAGTTTCATCCTAAGGATATAAATCAGAGAAAAAAATATTTATAGGACTGTAGAGTTGAGAAACCCCTACTCCAGAGCTGGAGGTGCCATTACAATTCACAGCAGAGGAGCATCAACCTCTACCCTGCACCTAGGCTATTGGTGGATCTGAAGGAGAATCATAAAATCTCAGGGTTGGAAGGGACCTCAGGAGGTTGTCTAGTCCAACCCCTGCTCAAAGCAGGACCAAGCCCCAATTTTTGCCCCAGATCCCAAATGGCCCCCTCAAGGATTGAACTCACAACCCTGGGTTTACCAGGCCAATGCTCAAACCACTGAGCTATCCCTCCCCCCTAAGTGAAAGCACTTTACAGACTGTGTTCCTTTTACACAGTTTTACATCTATTCTCATGTGATTCTCAGCAGGATCAGATTCACAGGTACAGGTAGCCTATAATTTCATGAAAACTCCTGGCTTTCTAACCTTTGAGGCTTGAAAGATAATGTGCACCCAAATGATGGATATGTGCCTTTAACTGTAACTCTGTCTTAGCTGTTGGTGGCGGGGGGATGATTTATGTGCACAATTTTAAGAGGTGCTCAGATACCATGCAATGGTCTCCAGGAACAAGCCTAGCTAGTTAGCCTCTTTCTCCTATAAGGCTCACAGGAGAAGGACACCTCAGAAAGCACTTTCCCAGATGGTGTTAGCAGGAGAGAGGCTGCACCATCAGTCCTTTCGGTCTCCCCGTACGGCGAGAGGGTGTAGAACGGAATGCTAGGCCTGACTCACCTTTCTCCATTCGCCTCATTCCCTCTGTCTCTTGTGTGGAAGATCATAGTGTACTTTCCTACAGCAGGGGATGGCCGCATCACCCTCATCTTCTGCATCTCAACCCTGAAAGTAATAATATTACAGTGAGCAGAACAGTACCTTTAAGCATGGCAGGAAGGGGGTCACAGACTTGTCAAGGGCATCTAGAGGATGGGGAGCTAACACACGTATATAGACAGAACAGAGAGCCACACCCCCAGAGAACTCAGACACGCCCTCCTCTTTCCCCCACACCACACTCCACCATAGAAATGGAGCCTAGCAAATGTCTATTTTCCCACAGCACACTCAGTTACGGCTCCAGCCATCCATTCCTTTTGACCACAAGCAATTAACTGTTACGTTAGTATGGCTTACTTGGGGGTTTAAACACATTATACTACAGAGCATTTAAACAGCCAGTCTTTCTCTCTAGCCTTGCAGCCTGTTTCATGTTGGCTGTATTCATCCAGGGAGTCTATGGCAAGGCCTCGTTCATTCTACAGTGAACTTGGCCTGACTTCTGTGGCCAGGGTGCTGGATTTTGAGGCTCTCGGGTGACAGTTGAAAATTCCAGGGTAGCATCAGGAAAATTAAAAACAACACAGTCTAGTCTGTCTTGATTGTATGATGGAATGCATATTTAATTCTATTATTTATTTTTATATTAAAGTCACATTATTTTATGCCACTTTCAATGAGCTGCAGGCTTTCCCATTGAAAACACAATGGCATTGAAGAAGTTAGAGGGAAGCTAAAGATTTCAACTAGGACGGCAGGGGACCCTTGTGGATTTTGGCAACAGGGGAGGCAGTTCAGCATAACGGGATAAACACACAAACTGGCAGTTTGTTAGAAGGACCAAGACACATGGGCAAGGAAATAATAACATTGATATTCTGACCCCAATGAAGTCAATAGGTTCACATTCATCGTTCGGGTACAGAATGAACATCTCACTGCACTCACTGGGCAGCTGGCACCTCTCAGACCTATTGTTTCAGGCTGTCTGCAGACTGAAACACCACACATCATGGCATCAGTTTAACCTCTTTACATTTTGAAGGGTCTCCTTGCAACAGCAAGTACTAGATACCTGAAGTTCCTCACATGCATTTAAGAGCCTAACTTCAGGCACCCACCTTTGAACATTTTGGGTGTTTTGTTTTTTAAATAAAAGTTTATGGAGCATAATCCTCCTGCAAGTGGAGAATGCGAAAGCAAATTTCGTGGCCACAGAATTGAGAAGTACCCAGGGCTATTTGTCACCAAAGCAGCTGAAAGAGCATCTAGCTTGCAGTCAGAAAGCTAAACACGGTTTGAAGAGTTGAAGCCCTAAGGCTTCTTGATGACTGAACCCTGGTCTACACTACAAGTTTAGGTCAAATTTAGCAGCGTTAGATTGATTTAACCCTGCACCTGTCCACACAATGAAGCCATTTTTGTCGACTTAATGGGCTCTTAAAATCGATTTCTGTACTCCTCCTCCCGACGAGAGGAAGAGCACTGAAATCGACTTCACCGGGTCAAATTTGAGGTAGTGTGCATGCAATTAGATGGTATTGCCCTCCGGGAGCTATCCCAGAGTGCTCCATTGTGACCACTCTGGACAGCACTCTCAACTCGGATGCACTGGCTAGGTAGACAGGAAAAGCCCACAAACTTTTGAATTTCATTTCCTGTTTGGCCACCGTGGCAAGCTGATCAACACAGGTGACCGTGCAGATTTCATCAGCAGAGGTGACCATGGAGTCCCAGAATCGCAAAAGAGCTCCACCCTGGACCGAACAGGAGATACTGGATCTGATCGCTGTATGGGGAGATGAATCTGTGCTATCAGAACTCCGTTTCAAAAGACGAAATTCCAAAATATTTGAAAAAATCTCCAAGGGCATGAAGGACAGAGGCTATCACAGAGACCCGCAGCAGTGCCGCATGAAACTTAAGGAGCTCAGGCAAGCCTACCAAAACACCACAGAGGCAAACGCCCGCTCGGGGTCAGAGCCCCAGACATATCGCTTCAAGAATGAGCTGCATGCAATTCTAGGGGGTGCCCCTACACCTACCCCACATTTGTACGTGGACTCCTGCAAGGGAGTGTCACGTAACAGGGATCAGGGTTTTGGGGACGAGGAAGATGAGGAGGAGGGGGAGCTTGAAGATAGCGCACACCAGGCAAGCAGAGAAACCGTTCTCCCCGACAGCCAGGAACTCTTTATCACCCTGGAGCCAATACCCTCCCAACCCGGGCTCCCGGACCTTGACGGCAGAGAAGGCACCTCTGGTGAGTGTACCTTTGTAAATATAATACACGGTTTAAAAGCAAGCATGTTCAATGATTAATTTGCCCTGAAGACTTGGGATGCATTCGCGGCCAGTACAGCTACTGGAAAGGTCTGTTAACGTGTCTGGGGATGGAGCGGAAATCCTCCAGGGACATCCCAATGAAACTCTCCTGGAGGTACTCCCAAAGCCTTTGCAAAAGGTTTCTGGGGAGGGCAGCCTTATTGTGTCCTCCATGGTAGGACACTTTACCATGCCAAGCCAGTAGCACATAGTCTGGAATCATTGCATAAGAAAGCATGGCAGCGTGTGGTCCCGGTGTTTGCTGGCATTCAAGCAACATCCGTTCTTTATCTCTCTGTGTTATCCTCAGGAGAGTGATATCATTCATGGTCACCTGGTTGAAATAGGGGAATTTTATTAAGGTGACATGCAGAGGTGGCTATTCCTGCTGGGCTGTTTGCCTGTGGCTGAAAAGAAATCATCCCCGCTGTTAGCCACGTGGTGGGGGGAGGGGTGAAGAGATCATCCCAGAGAATTGTGTGTGGGGGTTTAGTTGGGTTTGTGCTGCACGTTAGCCCGAAAACATCAGCCACTCCTTTTAAACGGCCAATGTGTCTTTTTCAATTTTACTCTCCCTTTTTTTCCTCCTGAAGCTGCAAATGTTTCAACGCTGCTACGAGCATCTCCGTCCCAGAGGCTAGCGCAGATAAGAAGGCGAAAAAAACATACTCACGATTAAATGTTCTCTGAGCTCATGCAGTCCTCCCACACTGACAGAGCCCAGCAGAATGCATGGAGGCAGACAATGTCAGAGTCCAGGAAAGCACAAAATGAACGCGAGGACAGGAGGGATGAACGCGAGGACAGGAGGGACGAGCGAGAGGAGAGGTGGCGTCAGCGTGATGAGAGGAGGCAGGATGCAATGCTAGCAATGCTAAGGCTACTGGAGGATCCGGCGTATGGCTGAGCTGCAGGAAAGGCAGCAGGAGCACAGACCGCCGCTGCAGCCCCTGTGTAACCAACCGCCCTCCTCCCCAAGTTCCATAGCCTCCTCATCCAGATGCCAAGAACACGGTGGGGGGGCCTCTGGCCACCCAGCCACTCCACCACAGAGGATTGCCCAAGCAACAGAAAGCTGGCATTCAATAAGTTTTGAAGTGCAGTGTGGCCTTGTCCTTCCGTCCTCCCCTCCTCCACCACCCCACCTGGTGCTTCCCTCCTCTCCCCCCCCCCGGGCTACCTTGGCAGTTATCCCCCCATTTGTGTGACAAATTAATAAAGAATGCATGAATTTGAAACAACAATGACTTTATTGCCTCTGCAAGCGGTGATCAAAGGGGGGAGGGGAGGGTGGTTGGCTTACAGGGAAGTAGAGTCAACCAAGGGGGCGGGTTTTCATCAAGAAACAAACAGAACTTTCACACTGTAGCCCGGTCAGCCATGAAACTGGTTTTCAAAGCTTCTCTGATGTGTAGTGCGCCCTGCTGTACTCTTCTAACCGCCCCGGTGTCTGGCTGTGCGTAATCGGCCACCAGGCGATTTGCCTCAACTTCCCACCCTGCCATAAACGTCTCCCCCTTACTCTCACAGAGACTGTGGAGCACGCAGCAAGCAGCAATAACAATGGGAATTTTGGTTTCACTGAGGTCTAACCGAGTCAGTAAACTGCGGCAGCGCGCTTTTAAACGTCCAAATGCACATTCTATCCCCATTCTGCACTTGCTCAGCCTGTAGTTGAACAGCTCCTGACGACTGTCCAGGGTGCCTGTGTATGGCTTCATGAGCCATGGCATTAAGGGATAGGCTGGGTCCCTGAGGATAACTATAGGCATTTCAAAATCCCCAGCGGCAGTGGTGAGCTGGAGCTGGTTCGCACCTGTCAAGGTTCCTTCCCCACTCTGAACTCTAGGGTACAGATGTGGGGACCTGCATGAAAAACCCCCTAAGCTTATTTTTACCAGCTTAGGTTAAAACTTCCCCAAGGTACAAACTATTTTTCCTTTTGTCCCTGGACTTTATTGCTGCCACCACCAAGCGTCAAACAAAATATAACCAGGAAAGAGCCCGCTTGGAAACATCTTTCCCCGCAACATCCCCCCAAGCCCTACACCCCCTTTCCTGGGGAAGGCTTGATAAAAATCCTCACCAATTTGCATAGGTGAACCCAAACCCTTGGATCTTAAGAACAAGGAAAAAGCAATCAGGTTCTTAAAAGAAAAATTTTAATTGAAGAAAAAGTAAAAGAATCACCTCTGTACAATCAGGATGGTAAATACCTTACAGGGTAATTAGATTCAAAACATTGAGAATCCCTCTAGGCAAAACCTTAAGTTACAAAAAGACATAAAAACAGGAATATACATTCCCTCCAGCACAGCTTATTTTATCAGCCATTTAAACAAATCAGAATCTAACGCATATCTAACTAGATTGCTTATTAACCCTTTACAGGAGTTCTGACCTGCATTCCTGCTCTGGTCCCGGCAAAAGAAAAAACACACAGACAGAGAGAACCCTTTGTTTTCCCCCACTCCAGCTTTGAAAGCATCTTGTCTCCTCATTGGTCATTTTGGTCAGGTACCAGCGAGGTTATGTTAGCTTCTTAACCCTTTACAGGTGAAAGGTTTTTTTCCTCTGGCCAGGAAGAATTTAAAGGTGGTTAGCCTTCCCTTTATATTTATGACAGCACTGGTTCGCTGGAACCGGTTGTTAAATTTAGAAGCCGACAACCGGTTCTAAAAAGGCTTCTAAATTTAACAACCAGCCAAAAGTGGCACCTTAGGCGCCGAATCCGTGGGTGCTCTGGGGCTGGAGTATCCATGGGGAAAATTTGGTGGGTGCAGAGCACCCACTGGCAGCTCCCCTCCCCACCCCTGACCCCAGCTTTCCTCCACTCCGTCTCCCCCCTTGAGCTACGCTCCGCCCCGCTCTGCTTCTCCGCCCCCCCCTTCCCGGCTTCCCACGAATCAGCTGTTTGCACAGGAAGCCTGGGAGGGCTGAGAAGCAGGCCTTGGCTTCGCGCTCAGGCCCAGGGAGGCGGAGGTGAGCTGGGGTGGGGGGGGGCGCAAGGAGGGCCACCCACGCTGCAGCAGGTAACCCGGTGGGGGGGGCGCGCGCAGGGAACCGCTCCCTGCCCCAGCTCACCTCCGCCACCCTCGGCCTGAGTGGGAAGCCGCCGCCTGCTTCTCAGCCCTCCCCGGCTTCCTGCCGAACACCTGATTCGCGGGAAGCCGGGGGTAGGAGGGTGGAGAAGCAGAGCAGAATGGCGCGTTCGGGGGAGGAGGCGGAGCGGAGGTGAACTGCAGCACACACCAAATTTTCCCCGTGGGTGCCCCAGCCCCGGAGCACCCACGGAGTCGGCACCTAAGGCGCCACTTTTGATGTGATCAGTGGGGGGAGCGGCCGCTCCCCCTGCTCCCCTGCTAGCTACGCTACCCTGCCCCTAGGAGCCAGAGGGACCTGCCGGATGCTTCCCAGGAGCCACCCCAGGTAAGCACCTCCAGGACTCCCCACCTCACCCCCCAGCAGGTCCCTCTGGCTCTTAGGGGCGGGGCAGGCACCCACTACGGTGGCCCACAAGACCCTCCTGCCTGGTTCCAGGGGCAGTCAAGGGACAGAGGAGGGGGTTGGATGGGACAGGAGTCCCAGGGGGCGGGGGCAGGCCACGATGCCCTCGTGGGGTGAGGAGGGAACCGGTTGTTAAGATTTTGGCATCTCATCACTGCCCAGTGGTTATTTTCAGGTCTGGAAAGTAAGTCCCTTGCTGCAGCCGTTCCCACAGACCAGAGTTCCTAAAGATGCGAGCATCATGTACCTTTCCCAGTCATCCCACGTTGATGTTGGTGAAATGTCTCTTGTGATCCACCAGTGCTTGCAGCACCATTGAAAAGTACCCCTTTCGGTTTATGTACTGGCTGCCCTGGTGCTCCGGTCCCAAGACAGGGATATGGGTTCCGTCTATAGCCCCACCACCGTTAGGGAGTCCCATTGCAGCAAAGCCATCCACTACGACCTGCACATTTCCCAGAGTCACTACCCTTGATAGCAGCAGCTCAGTGATTGCGTTGGCTACTTGCATCACAGCAGCCCCCACAGTAGATTTGCCCACTCCAAATTGATTCCCGACTGACCGGTAGCTGTCTGGCGTTGCAAGCTTCCAGAGGGCTATCGCCACTCACTTGTGAACTGTGAGGGCTGCTCTCATCTCGGTATTCTTGCACTTCAGGGCAGGGGAAAGCAAGTCACAAAGTTCCATGACAGTGCCCTTACGCATGCAAAAGTTTCGCAGCCACTGGGAATCATCCCAGACCTGCAACACTATGCGGTCCCACCAGTCTGTGCTTGTTTCCCGGGCCCAGAATTGGCATTCCATGGCATGAGCCTGCCCCACTGCCACCAGGATGCCCAAATTTCTGGGGCCCATGCTTTGAGAGAAGTCTGTGTCCATGTCCTCATCACGCTCGTCACCACGCTGCCGTCGCCTCCTTGCCTGCTTTTGCAAGTTCTGGTTCTGCATATACTGCATGATAGTGTGCGAGATGTTTACAATGCTGATTCACCAGTGGTGAGCTGGAGCCGGTTCCCACCAGTTCGCTAAAACCGGTTGTTAAATTTAGAAGCCCTTTTAGAACCGATTGTTCCACGAGGGACAACCGGTTCTAAAAGGGCTTCTAAATTTAACCGGACAAAAGTGGCGCCTTAGGCACCGACTCCATGGGTGCTCCAGCCCTGGAGCACCCAAGGGGAAAATTTGGTGGGTGCAGAGCACCCACCGGCAGCTCCCCAGCTCACCTCCACTCCGCCTCCTCCCCTGAACGCGCTGCCCTGCTCTGCTTCTCCGCCCCCCACCCCAGGCTTCCCGCAAATCAGCTCTTCGCGTGGGAAGCTGGGGCAGGCTTCCTGCTCAGGCCCAGGGAGGCAGAGGTGAGCTGGGGCGGGGGGGCACGAGGAGGGCCGCCTGCACTGCAGCAAGTAACCCGGGGGCGGGGGGCGGGCAAGCAGGGGAACCGCTCCCTGCCCCAGCTCCCCTCCACCACCCTCAGCCTGAGCAGGAAGCCACCACCTGCTTCTCAACCCTCCCCGGCTTCCCGCCGAACAGCTGATTCGTGGGAAGCCGGGGGGCGGAGAAGCAGAGCGGGGTGGTGCGTTCAGGGGAGGAGGCGGCGCGGAGGTAAGGTGAGCTGGGGCTGGGCACGGGGCGGGGAACTGCCGGTGGGTGCTCTGCACCCTCCAAATTTTCCCCATGGGTGCTCCAGCCCCGGAGCACCCAGGGAGTCGGCGCCTAAGCCGCCACTTTTGATGTGATCAGTGGAGGAGCGGTCGCTCCCCCTGCTCCCCCCCCCAGCTACGCTCCCCTGCCCCTAGGAGCCAGAGGGACCTGCCGGATGCTTCTTGGGAGCTGCCCCAGGTAAGCACCACCAGGACTCCCCACCTCCCCCCCAGTAGGTGCCTCTGGCTCTTAGAGGTGGGGTGGGCACCCACTACGGTGGCCCACGAGACCCTCCTGCCCAGTTCTGGGGGCAGTCAGGGGACAGCGGAGGAGGGTGGATGGGGCAGATGTCCTGGGGGGGGCGTCAAGGAACGCGGGGGGGGTTGGATGGGGCAGGAGTCCCAGGGGGCAGGGGTGGGCAACGACCCCCTCGTGGGGTGAGGAGGGAATCCGTTGTTAAGATTTTGGCAGCTCATCACTGCTCATAACTGCCATGGTGATCTGAGCAGGCTCCATGCTTGCCGTGGTAATGGTGTCTGCAGGACAGCAGAGTTGCAGGGGCAGCGGTGGTTGGATGACCAGTTTTGCAGACCTGCTGCACCGTCTGCTTCCAGGACACAACAGCTAAGTGGGCTGCATGCTTGCCGTGGTATGGCAAGACAAGAGCAGCCGAGCAGAGTTGCAGTGGAAGCAGTGGACGACGATGGTCATATAGACAGAGGACCTGCGAGACCACCAGGAGAGCAGAAAAGCAGAGTGGCAGCGGAAGCGGTCGTTCGATGACGACGGTTTGCAGACCTACTGCACCGTCTGCTGAAAGCAGTATGGCTCCCGCACGGAAAAAAGGCACAAAACGATTGTCTGCCATTGCTTTCATGGAGGGAGGGGCGACTGACGACATGTACCCAAAACCACCCGTGACAATGCTTTTGCCCCATCAGGCATTGGGAGCTCAACCCAAAATTCCAATGGGCGGCGGAGACTGCGGGAACTATGGGATAGCTACCCACAGTGCAACTCTCCAAAAGTCGATGCTAGCCTCGGT